AAAACAGTTAAGTTTTTCTTTCTGTTCTCTGTGCAAAAAAATGCTAGGATATTACTTTACTTCTCACCTCACAGCTGCTTCAGTTGATGTTTACTGACTGTTCCTTTTTCTGCTCAGGCCATCAGGCACATGTTTCTAAATTACCTGAATTTCTTTTAGAAAAAGAAACAGGGAAGTGATCTAACCTGATTCAGAAGAGAAGAGGGGAGGAGACGCAAGGCGCACGTGTGCCCTAAAATTGGAGTCTTGCTCTTATCTACAAGGGTGAGACTTCCTGGTGTCCATGAGGTCAGTTGAAAAAAAAAAGGCAAACAAACATTGTACAACCACATGACCAACCCAAATGACCAGTAAACATGGAGGAATCATGTGACCGATTAATGAGAGGAACCAAAATCGTTGCCAGCTATATTGGAAATGGGACCAAAAAAGGCCCTGAGAAAGCAACTCACTAAAGATACTCAGAAATAAAAGGATCTCTAGGAGAAAAGTACAGATGAGACTTAGAGTACATAAAGGGGTAAACTGGGATAGGTGGCTACTCAAGCAGGCGACCAAGTTATTAATAGGAATTTTTCACATAAGTGGGAGAAAGGTCAGCAGAGTATGATGGAGAATAGAAATGTGAGGGCAAAAAGACATAGTACTAAACTGTAGGTCATACATATGGAACCTGAAAGATCTCTTTTTCAACTGGGTTAATAGGCTCTCTGGCAACTGTTTACTGACTTGCACCCATAGTGAATGACCAAAAATGGGAAAGAGAAGAAAGAAAAGAGGAATAAACTTGAGGTAGACCAGTGGGTCCCTTACCAGCTGGGAAAAACAGAAACTATGAACTTCTGCTCCTCCTCCCACATGGTGAGACACACTAGAAAACTTCCCGGTGCCGTAAGAAAACTTCCTAAGCTCCCTAGGTTCCATTAATTTTTACCACCCTTTAGTTCCCTGTTTTTCCTGAATAACCAAAAAGGATTTGAAACTTCCAAAGGATGAAAGATTGTCCTGGGGAGAGAAGGGATAAAAAGAGGATGGGAGCTTTTTTAGGGGAAGGGGGGTGTGTGGCAAACTAAACCAGACCATCTCGGCCACAGGTTTTAGAAACAAACTGTGCCCAGATAATCTTACCTGCTCCCTACTGGCTCAACAAGATATGTTACTGGGTTTGGGGTGCTGGAGTCTCCTTATAGAGGTGTTTTCTAGGTTCTTACTGTCCTAAACAAAGAATTGGTTAAGACAAGTGCAAAAAGTAGCAAGGTTTTATATTTATTAAAGGTAGAAAAAGAAACATGCTCTGTAGAGTGAGTTTGGGCCAAGTAAAAGTAGGGAAAAATTACATTCTATAGTGTGAAAGTGGACTACCGTGAAAGAGAACACGGCCAGGAACATCCTTGATATGAGCCAACTTGCCAGGTGTGGTGACACATGCCTGTAATCCCAGCACTTGGGAGGCTGAGACAGGAGGATTGCTGTGAATTTGAGGCCACCTAGGCTACATAGTGAGTGCAAGGCCAGCCTTGAATGACATAGGAAGACCTTGTCTAAAAACCCAAAAAACCCAACTGACACTTGTTTGTTCTCCCTAAAAGTGGCTCTAGATGCAGGAAGTGAGTGACTTACCTGGGGCCTTACATTATAATCCAAATAGGCTTTTAGTGGTCCTGCCTGTTTTTATTGTAGATTTCCCTGTCTTTAATAGCTCTCAAGGAATGTTTGTTGATAACAATAACACTCTAAAAATGATAGAGTGGTGACAAGCTGCTATTTTTTTTTAATAATCAAAGGCATACATCAAAACAGCTCATCTTCTATCTTTTTTTAGTAGAGGAGCACATGCTTCAGCTAACACTCCAAACACAGAAGTTCTTTGAGACCCAGACTAAACAAGAATCTCACTTTTTTCTAAAAAGGCAGGAAAGCTATGCCTTAGGATGCCTGGGTAGATCCAAAGCACCCTGCCACGTAATTCAGGCAACTAAGAATCCTGCTGGCCCCCTGGCTGGTAATTCCTCAACACTTGAGTATGTACTAGCATTGCCAAATAGGCTGGAAGGATTTAGAGAACAGGAAATAAGCTGCTGGGAGATAAGGCGGTAGCTATGAACTGTAGACAAGGGAGGAAATGAGAATGAACACTACTCCAAGGAACCAACATTAGCTATTTCACTTCATTTTTAAACCAAGAATTACTGAGATGTCTGTCTCTAATTTAGGGGAGAGTTACTCCCTTCTCAGTTAAACTAGTTAGAATTCACACTGAAGAAGTGTGTGAGTAGGGACCACATTTCCAGTTATTGCTGCATCTCAACTGATGAAGAATTGCAAAAGGATGAAATTGAGTCTGAACATTTCATTTACCCAGCAACAGCAACTGTGTTGTCACAAGACCAAGAAATCTTTAATATTAAAAATAAATTTAAAAAAATTTTTTTGCTTCTGCTTTTCTGTGTTTGTGTCATGCTGTGACTATGCAGGCTGTTTTCATGAAGAAGAGGGTTTTTGTTGATGTTAAATGTGCAACTGTACATGGCAGTGGATATAATGTGAACTAACTTTTGTCCTCTGAAATAGGACACCATGTCATCAATGCTATTTTACAGAGATTCACAGTAGACACATGTTCACTGTGTTAACCTAAGGAAATTGTAATTTCAGAACAGGTCAGTCGTAAATATAATGTTCTTTTTTTTTTTTTTTGGTACTGGGGATTGAACTTGGGTCCTTTTGCTTGTGCAGCAGGCGGTGAAACCACTGAGCTAAATCCCCGGCCCACATATAATGTTCTTATTTTTATATTTCATTTTATACTGGCCATTCAGAAGTGCATTAATGATTTGGGCTTCGGTGATTAATGTTTGTCTGTGGAAAGCAAAATGTATATGTGTCCACATTTGTGGATGATAGCATTTGGGGGCCAAATCACTGTTGGATCTGAAAGAAGTTTACTAAATTGACTTACTGAGTGTTTGGAAAGTCTAAATTTTATGACACATTTGATGTCATTTAGAGATTTCCATTATTATTGACTCAATTAAAAAAAATAAATCAGTAATTATAAATAGTGTTTTTAAACTAGACTTAATTTATTATTCCCTTATCCTATGTAGGACCCCTGTGTATGTTCATAACTGTAATTGCACACAGAGCACTGTATTATGTCTGTTTAGTAAACTGAACTCCTTGGAGTCAAAATTGCCCTAATTTCTATCCTTAGCACCTTACAATATCTGGTTCATCTTGGGCAGACAGGTAGTATTTGCTGACATTAAAATGTCTTTGGGAATTTAAAACAACCTACTTGAAAATGTTTTTAATACCTTTTATATTTGAGAGATACAAGTTAGCAAGGATCGTAACTTCTGGATTTACAGGCTGTTAACTGCAGTGGATTATGGCAGTGCTGCACCTGCAGAATTGGGCCAGTGCAAGGAAGGAGCTTTTCACATGGACCTGCAGATAGTTGGGGCTACCTGGGGAGTTTTTTGTGTGCTCAACCTTGCAAGTTGACTAGTGTGGTAATCCATCAGCCACAGAGTTTCCTTTGATTTTGCAGAATTTTTAAAAAGATACAGTACTCTTTTCCTGTATGAAATTTCGAGAATTTTATTATACAACTTGTAAGTGCTGATATCACTGAGTGTAGTAAACCAGTGCTGGCTCAGGGCAAACCAAATCAGACCATAGGAGTCTCTCCTAGTTCCCTGGTATCCTGGACACACATTTAAAGATCTAAACTCAGATGTATCTGTTACAGAATTTTAAGAAGTTGGTCTAAAAGCAGGAAGTGTGCTTTGGACAGATGGGTAGAAGCTGGAATCTGGGTATAATTATGGGAGTCCTTGACCACCTGTCCTAAGGCTCACTTTCTATTTCAGAATCTTAAGTTAGAATTTGGAAACTGTTTATGCTGGCGTCGCATGTTCACAATAGTTATAATGATTTTATTAGGCTGAGTAAACAGGGCTCACATCTTAGTGAATAGTAGGAGTGTTCCTGCTCATTGATGGTAGTCCTCTTTCACTAACACATGTCAATGGGACAAATGTGTTCATGGATATTCTGGCTTCCCAGCTTGACTTTTAACTTACTGGGGTTACCAGTGGTGGTTCATGTCATCCAACTCAATATTAGCCGCGTAGCACCAGTGAAATAAATGTGTGCCAGATGTCTGACTAAATCAGTCCATCCATTGTCATCAGGATAGGCCAGCCAGGGACAGCCTCAGGGAATACTCATCATAGTCAACTTTGAAGTACTGTATTGGTTTTGTGGCTCATGGCCTCCTGGGACCAGTCCAAACCTGCATTCCCTTACAGATTTTACTGGGCTTTGTGAGGGCTGATCTCAGACTCCTTAGCATTTACTTAGTGTCACAAGCTATGTCAGACTTCATACCTTTTTAGACAAGTGGGAAAATGAGAAAAATGAAAATGATTTGTCTAGATTCAAAATTTTCTGTTTATTAGTTCTGTTACTCACAAAATTTGAACCTTATCACTTCTTCAGATCTCTTGTTAAGTCTTAAACATCTTAACCCTTCCTCATCTTTTCCACATTGGCTGTGTTTAGACGCTGAACTATTCAGAGGTATTCCAGGAAAGATACAGAAATGTTCACTTTTGGCAGAAAATAGGATAAGAACCTTTTCTTTTTTCAGTACTAAATAAATGATAGCATCATTTAAAAATATAACGAATTCTGTGAAAATTGTTTCTCTACATCAGGACTTGTAGATGAGGGATTGCTGCATACCTTTGAGAAGCAGGTACTTTACGGGGTTCAGGGTGGTCCTCTGTTTTTGTAGCAATGACATAGTCCTCCAGCTTTGTCTTTGCTCAGGTGTCTGTTATTTGCCAGGAACCCATGTCAGGTGTGTCTGGATCTACCTCTTCACAAATCCCCACATTCTCCCTGAGCCTTTTTCTGTGACTAACTGTATTCTGTTTAGTTGCAGAGTCTGAACACTTTGAGGAAATAATCCTGACCCTGTGGTTTTCCAGGTTGTGTTGGTGAGGTGGAATGAGCCATACCAGAAACTGGCCACATGTGATGCAGATGGAGGAATATTTGTGTGGATTCAGTATGAAGGCAGGTGGTCTGTGGAACTGGTCAACGATCGAGGGGCTCAGGTGAGTAGGTGGCAAGCCTCTTGCAGTGAAAGACTGCTAGAGTACACCAGTGTTCTAGAGCACAGGTATTACTGAAATTTTTGTGAACGAAGTAGAAGAAAAATAAATAAAACTAGAACCTTGCCTTTCATTCAGCTTGAGTCACTTGATAGAAAGTGAGAGTGTGAGATCCTACCTCCTTCTCTTCAGCCTGACTGCTCCTGTGAGAACTCTCCAAGCTACAAGCGATCTGTGAATCATTTTTTACCATTCAATGTTGTGATTACCTGTTAAATTTGGATCCTCTGAAGTGCTTCTACCATATCACTTTTTTGCTCCCTTTTAGAAGGTATTTTCCCTGTGCTGTGATCTTTATACTTCTCTTACTGAGAGCTCCACATGAGTATTTCTCACAACCTACTCACTGAGTAAAGAGTTTTTAACACTCGTTTCTATCAGGTTTCAGTTAGTATGGCCACCTGTTGTCATCTTCTACTTTTCCTTTCTGATACAATTTATCTCTTCTCTGAGGAAAACAATTGCTCTGAGGACACCCTGCCGAGCCGTGCTCTTTCTAGAAATGGTCCTTGGGTTGTTCTAGCTTGTGATACAGCTCCCCCTTGAGTGAGTGGGTGGGGTGCCTAGCTTTCCTCATATGCTTTGGAACACAAAGCAGGACGGGCAGTTCTCACTTGTGAATTTGACAGAACTATGATGAGAACCTCAAGGGATGAACTATGATTGAAACCTCAAGGGATGAGAGGCATTTTTTGACTCTTAACTCTTTCAGAATGATTTCCCTGTGAGTATCTTGGTGTATATTTTCAAAGGACAGGATTCTTATCCTCCTCTCTCCTACCTGTTGCTTAACTAAGTTTCCCAAGTTTGAAAGCTACAGACCAGTAAAGTGACATAAAATTGCTAGAAATGAAGATGCTACCTGGCTGAAAGTTTCTGTAAGATGTTATCACAGAAGAAAAACCTACCTCTCTGTGAAAACAGAACCTTCTTTTTTGTGTGTATTTATTTAATAGGTAAACATAACAACATTGACTGACCCTGGTAAAGCGCATCTCCCTGGAATGAGAAAAGTAGGAGATAACACTTTCTTGAAGGAGAGCTGCAAGTAGGGAAATTTCCATGACCATGAGAAATTTTTGTCACTTTGAGAATGGATGAGCAAGAGCTTTGAAGTTAGACAGCATAGTCCAAAAATCTCACTCCATGACTTTTGAGTGGGAGATACTTCACTTTTCCATGCCTGTGTTTCCTCATCTGTAATACAGAGAGAATAATTCCCCCTGCCTCAGAGGATCACTGTGAAGATAAATGCGAATGTACATGAAAAGTGCTTATACCCCTGTTGCACGTAGCACCTGTCATCATGTGTTACTATAGTGTCTATAACATTTTGCCATACTGCTACCTCATAGCCTCCTAATACAGAGCTCACCTGCCTTGAAACAGTAGCCATATAATCTCAAAAACAGTTTCAGGCCTGGAGATGGCACTTTTTCATGGTTTTCTGAGAAGTGGACAGTTCTCTTTGAGGTTGCCTGGAGGGTTTCTACCATGCTGTAACTTCCTGTAACCAAAAGATAGGATTCTTTTCCCTAGAAAGGCCCATGAAGGGGTGAGACATGTTTTCATATTTAAGATGGCAAGAGCACTTTAAATCATTACTCAGAGAAAGAAAGGAAAGGGGAGCTACAACACATGCCAACTAAGTGCTTGGCTTTTTTCCTTTGTTGAGTCTCTCAGTCTCCATAGGATCCTTATTCTGAAGTCTCTCAGATCCTTATTCAGTCTCTCAGTCTCCATAGGATCCTTATTCTGAAGATGTTATGCTAATAGAAGAGAAAGATTCAGGTCAGGGGGATTCAGTAACTTGCCCAAGGAGGTCCATGAGTAGCAAAACCAGAACTCCGACCTCAGTGTGAGTCCAAAATGCTCCAATATACTGTCTTATTCCCAGGCCCAAAAAAGCCTTATTTTCTCTTTTAGCAGAAATACATTTTCTTTTTACATTTAACAGATATACATTTACCAGATATACATTTTCATAGTATATCCAGAAATGCTCAGACTATTACTATTTGAGAGGCCTGCTCCACCAGCCAAGCGGTGCCAGTGCTACATGGTTTTCCCCTGGCAGCAACCTCTCTAAGCAGGTGATCCCTGTCATCTCCATATGGCAGCTATGGGGTTGCCATCACTTGTCACATCTTTCAGTGTTTCTTTCCAAGGAGAGTTCAAAGCAGACAAATATGCCAGAATCAAGAAAGGTAGAATGAATTCATCCCTGAGACCAGTGAGCTTGTGTGAGTCACAGAACATTTGGCAGTATCCTGAACCTCACAAGTGCTTGTGCCTGCCAGGTTCCATTAAGGAATCTGTGTCTTGTGACCTGATTCCAATTTTAGCTAATTATACTGTTTTAAAATTTGAATCTTTAAACCTGAGAACCCATTGACCAGCTGTCACCATTAAACAGTGGCTTTTGTGGAGCAATTTGGTTGCTTTTTAAGTGTATTAGAATAAGATTATCTGAGTAAAAGACACAACACACAGGTGATGTTAGAACACTGGTCAAGGCAGTGGAGGCTGTACACTAGAAAATTATCTGGAGGAAAGAACAGTTCTGTGCCTTGTAAGCCAGCTGAGAGAAAAGTATTACTTTTTAGAAGAAATGACAGGTGATCCTTGCCTTTCATTGTCACAAAGTAAATCAAACATTTGCTGAATGCTAAGTGATGCCATAACAATTTTTTTTCAGGAAATGATTAGGAGTCCTTCATTTGAAAAATGAATCTGGAACAGTGCACACATTGTTTTACAGTATTAGTCACTGAGGATGGCTGTGCCAGGCATACCCATTCTGAGATAGTCTAATGAAAAGCTGCCTTGGGCAAGTATGGTTGAGCTGTTGCTCAGCTTCAGTTACTTCACATCTGAGAACTCTCTTTAGTAAAGCAAGAGTGTTGCCAGAGCCGAGGATTTAGCTCAGTGGTCCTGCTTCGATCCCCAGTACCAAAAAAAACCAAACAAACCCGTTGCAACCCTGTGCAGTTGAAAAACAACTAAAAGGGGCAGTTCTGCTATCCCAACCCCCAGCATTTGGTACTTGGCTTCCTCTGTTTTGTTTTGCCAATTGTGATGTATCCTTACCACTTCATGCTGACCTGATAAGCTCAGTTACTTCATGTAAACATCCTGCATTACCTGTTTTCTGAGATTACTAGTGTTTTAATTTTTTTCAAAAGATCCCTAAAGTAGAACAAACAAAAGCAAAAATATAGGACACATAGGATTACATCAAACTAAAAAGCCTTTGTTATAAGAAAAGAAAGAGTAAGAGACAACCTGCAGAATGAGAGAAAATATTTGCAAATTGTACATCTGACAGTTAATGTCCAGAATTATAAGGTACTCAAATAACTCAATAGAAAAATATATCCAAACAATCATTTAAAATTGGCAATAGATCTAAATACTGCAGATATTTCTCAAAAGAAAACATACAAATGACTAATAGGTATAGGAAACAGTGCTTGATTATCATTAATTATCAGAGAGATGCAATTAAAAACCACAATCAAAGTTCTTTCAAACTATATAGTATAAATGGTTGGAACAAAATGGAAATTAGTACTACCTTTCTCAAGTTAGAATGGCTATGATCAAAAAGACAAAAGAGGGGCTGGGGATTTAGCTCAGTGGCACCATGCCTGCCTCACAAGCACAAGCTCCTGAGTTCAATCCCCAGTACTGCAAAAAAAAAAAAACCAAAAGATAGGAAGCACAGGAGGGGATATGGGAAAAAGGGAATCCTTGCATACTGTTGGTTAGAATGTAAATTAGTACAACCATTATGAAAAATAGTATGAAAATTACTCAATTAAAATAGAACTACCATATGAATCCACAGTCTCATTACTGGGTATATATCTAAAGAAAATGAAATTATTATGTCAGAAACACATCTGTATTCCCATGTTTAATGTAGCATTATTCATAGTAGCCAAGAAATAGAAGCAAGTATCCAACAACTGATAAATAGGTTAAGAAAATGTGTCACACATGAAGGAATACCATCCAGCCATAAAAAGGATGAAATCCTGTCATTTGCAACAGCATAGATGGAACTGGATCTCAGTATAGTAAGTGAAATTATAGTAAGTGAAATAAATCAGGTGCAGGGAAAAAAAAGTATCACATGATCTCACTCATGTAAATGCTAAAAAAAATTTCACTACATAGAAGTTGAAAGTAGAGCAGTGGCTACCAGAAGCAGGGGAGAATAGGAGAAAGGGAGGGAAAAGGAAAGTTTGGTCAGTGATTCTAAGTTATAATTAGTAGTAAGAAGTCGGGTATGTTATTGCACTGTAGAGCGACTACAGATAACAATGAAGTAGTATATATTTTGAAATGCTAAAAGAAAGGATTTTGAATGTATTTATCACAAAGATGACAAATATTTAAGGAGATAAATATTGGGGGATTACTAATAGCAACAAGAAGCTTCTTTTTACTGACTATATGTTCTGGTCCTGTGTTAAGATGTTTGTCCTTTTAGTTCAAGTATAAGATACGTAGTTTCAGTGAGTGTAAATAATGGCATTATCTTTGCAAAATGAAAGAACTTTGAAATTTTATTCTAGAAAGTAATATGTTGTTGCTGAGAAAAAAAATGCTGTTCTAAGTTCTTAAGACAGAATAGATAGTGTAATATGAATGAAGCCAAGGTTCTGAGTTTACCTGAGCAAACTTTTTTCAGTAACAGAGCAGTTATTCCAGAGGTATCTCATAAGTCCATGCCATTGTCATGATGGAGACATTGTTGATTAGTCAGCACACACCCTTAGCCCCTGTTGGGAAAAGAGCCAAAAGTTCATGTCCTTTTGCTGTTGGTTCATTTATTTTTTTATGTCTTGAAATGTGATATGTCTAGCAATATCACAAATTTTAAAGAAATTTGAGTATTTCCAATTATAAGCAAAGGTAATTATTATAGATAGTAATATTTTTTTATTTTTTTGGTACCAAGGATCGAACTCAGGTCCTTGTGCTTGCACAGCAGGCAGCGAAACCACTGAGCTAAATCCCCGGCCCCAAGATAGAAAAGATTTAAAAGAAACAAAAAGTAGTATAAACTGAAAAGATAAGGTAATAGAAATAGAACCCCCCCCCAAAAAAACTTAATTAGAATAAATGTAAATGGACTAAATTTATCAATCAAAAAATAAAGCTTGAGGGGCCAGGGATTTAGTTCAGTGGTTCCGCCGCCTGCCTCACAAGTGCAAGGTCCAGAGTTTGATCAGCAGTACCAAAAAAAACACCAAAAAAAAAGTTGAAGAAAAAATAAAGCTTGGCAGATTATATTTTTGAAAATCTGTATATAGGCTATTGAGAACCACATTTAAAACTTAAGGACAGCTGGGCATCATGGTGCACACCTGTCATTCCAGCACTTGGAAGGCTGAGGCAAGAGGATTGCAACAAGTTTGAGGCCAGCCTGGGCCATATAGTGAGTACAAGGTCAGCCTGAACTACATAGTGAGACCTTGTCTCAAAAAACAAACAACAAAAAACCTTTAGGCCATATACAAGTTTAAAAGAATGAAAAAGACATGTCTGGTAAATATCAAGAGAAAAATAAAGCTGTTATAGCTATATTAGTATCAAAATAATGTAAAGACAGAAATTATTCACTTACCAGATAGTAATAAATGCTGTATTTTAGTATGTATGCTTTATCAAAAATGCCTTCAAAATATTTTAAGGAAACTGATAAAACTTAAAGGAAAAGTTGATAAATTTATTGACATACTCAAGTTTTAACAGTAAACAACAAAGATATAAAAGTTGACCTAAAATACATGTATAGTTCTGTATCTACTGATCAGTAAATACCCATTTTCCCACTTAACAAAAATAGATCATGTTCCTGGATAAGATTCTGCAAACCTTTTTTTGTGAAGAGGCAGTTAATAAATATTGTATGTTTTGTGGATCAGGAGCCAAAATCAAGTATGTTAATGCATATATTATGTAAGAAGAGAAAACACATTTCTAAAAAAATTGATCAGATTAACTTTATAGACATTAAAATTTGAATTACATATAATTTCATGAATAACAAAATGTCATTTTACTATTGATTTTTCTCTCCTCAGCCACTTACAATTGTAATTGTTCTTAGTTTGTAAGGTATACAAACATAGATGACAGGCCAAATTTGGCCTATGGGCTATAGTTTGCCTACCCCAATCTAGACATAAATAAAACCTCAACAGATTTGCAATGGCAAGTATTATGATTGTAGACCCTAATCTCTGAACACAATGTGACTGGATTAGAAATTAACAGCAAAGGAGAAATTTAAGAAACCCATGCATGTTTGGAAACTCATAAAAAGATGGTTAAATAGCTATTGGAAAAAATAAATTTAGTGAACATTTACATGTAAAATAGTGCTAACACTACATTTCAGTCATTTTGATTGCTTTTCAAATGCCTTTTATATTGTTTTCTTTAGGTCATCTTGATCTTGCCCAAAAGGTTAACTTAATGACCATATCTAGGCTTTGATAAAAATGTTCCCCCTTTCAGATTATAAACTGACTCCTCTTCTTTCCTTGTGTTTTGAAGGTGAGTGATTTCACATGGAGCCACGATGGAACTCAAGCACTTATTTCATATCGCAATGGGTTTGTCCTGGTTGGTTCTGTCAGTGGACAAAGACACTGGTCATCTGAAATCAACTTGGAAAGTCAAATCACATGTGGCATATGGACTCCTGATGACCAACAGGTAATGCCTCTGAATGTGAGTGTGTAATACTAAAACAATGGGGGCTGAGAAGAAAAAAGGGGCAGGAGAGAGGAAGCTGGTGCAAAAGCCTATTAAAGAATCACAAAAGAAGCTGTACACCTATGATCTCAGTGCTTTGGGAAGCTGAAGCAGGTGGATCACAAGTTCAAGCCCAGCCTATATAACTTAGCCACTTAGTGAGACTCTGTCTCAAAAAAAGGTCTGGAAATGTAGCTCAGTGCAAAGGCCCTGGGTTTGATGTCCAGTACCAAACCAAACCAAACCAAAAAAAAATCAAAGGAAAAGAACAGCAAAACTGTCCCGATAAAATTTAAACATTAACATTTTAATTATATAAAATGTTCATATAAATTTCTTTTAAAGGCACATAAATAGCCAATTGATAAATAGATAATGGATATAACTAATTCACAAAAGAAGAAGTTCAACTAGCTAGTAATCATATAGTAGAAAAATTTTCATTCTCTGAGGAAAATATGAAATTAGCATAGTGAGGGTATACTTTTCACTTACTAGCAAAAAGTAAAATGATAGAACATTTTGCTGATTATTGATAAGAGTATGAACAACTAAGCCTTCTCATTCTCATTAATGTGCTTTAAGACATTTGGGGAAGTAATTTGGCAGAATATGTCAAAAGGCTTACAAATTGTCCACTTTTGTAACATACTTTGGGAATTTATCTGAAAGAAACAGAAGTGGAGAAAAGCTATAATCATTAAATCATTATCTGTGGTAGTAAAATTTTTCAATAGCCTTCTTTTTTTTGTTTTTTTTTTGGGTACCAGGGATCGAACTCCTGTCCTTGCGCTTGCGAGGCAGGCACGGAACCACTGAGCTAAATCCCCGGCCCAATAGCCTTCTTGATTAAAAGGAGAATGATTAGATAAAGTAGCAGAAGCACTTAAAAAGAGGATACAGTAACTCAATAAATTATATAGATTTTGATTATGAAGATGATGTAATAATCTGAAAGAGCTTTTTAGAATATTAAACAAATCAGAATATGAAATAGTACATGTGAAAAGTTGCCACATAATAGAACAGCACTCCCACACCCCAAAGAAAGATCCATCCACATGGTAAAAACAATTGGAAAGAAGTGCATCAAAATGCTGTAAATACTTACTTTATGATAATAAGCCTCTGGTTTGTTTTCTAAAATGTAATGTCAAATTTTTCTTTATTGGGCCTGTTTGATTTTCATGATAAAATAATATATAACACCATAAAATAATATTGATAATATTTAAAATATAATTATTAACTAAAGTCTTTGTAAACATCAAATTTAGTTTCCAAGTATAGCAGAATCCATAAAATGCCAAAAAATTTCATGCAGAGTTATAAATTTTATATTGCTAAAAGAAAGCAGTGTAGTATGAAACCATTAATTTTGTTTTTGAGCCACTTTAAAAATTTTTTCTAGTAAAAATTTTTTCTATAAAAATATTTTTATTTCTTGAACTTAGTATTATTAAATTTATGAAAAGATATTTTCAATTCCATTTCTTTCCTAGCTTTTCCCCCCCTAGACTTCTGTGTGTGTGTGTAGGAAGGATTTAGATTCATTATGAAGTTTTATCCTCATATGAGTTGTATTATCCCTATAGTCTCCTCCTCAAAGAAGGAGGTCTTTTGCAATCCACCTCAAGTGAAGTGGTCTTTTGCAAGGCACCTGACTTCTCCTGCATTGGTTTCCTCCTCTGGGACAATGGGTGTAAATGTAAATTATTTTCTACCTAGTTCCCAGGGCTTTTGTAATTATCAGATGAGGGAAGAGATCTGAAAGTACTTAAAAATGTCAGTGAAAATCTTGGCTTCACATTCTTCACCTCATAGTCCCCTAGTGAACTGTGCCAACCAGTGTCCCAGGCACATCACACACTTAGTGTGACAAGTGTGAGTCCCACTGGCAGTGGCAGAGTGAGTAAGACGTAGCTCCCTCCTTTAGGGTCCTCATGGGTAGTAGAGACAGGCCCGACAGCATACCACTGTTGTGCTTGACAGTGCACAGTGCGTCATACATGGAGGGGCAGACAGACCCTAATCCAAGTCTGAGTGATGGTGTGTAGCATGAGCCAGGAATGTGGCAAGAAGCAGAGTATAGGGTAGCCACAGTGCTACCTCATACACCACAAAGAGTGCTTTGCTGCCATATTCATAGGTTTAAAGCAGTGCAGACAGGCTGGAGGAGAAAGCAGGGCCCTAGCCTTAGCCATAGCCTTGGTGCAGTGAGGCACGCTGACATGCCTAGGCTTGCTCTGTAGGGTGCAGGTACGTGCAAGGACAGAGCCCATGTAGCAGTGGTGGGATCTTGTAGTGCCCAGTCTCTGTCTTGGTTACTGCTTTAACTTCCCAGCAAGATTTACCTCTAGCTGAGTGCTCCACTGCCTTTCAGAAAAGGCTTACAAAACAGGGAAACATGAGAATCCTTGGGCAAATTTAGCATACGGATATGTGTTGTATACACAGGCAGTCCTGTTTCAGCTGACCATGGAAAAATAAAATTTCTTCTCTAACTTTGCCATAGTTTCATATCTTTCTCTTGATTTGAAGATTATTAACAAAAAGAGTATGAGTATGCTTAGATTGCCAGTTCAATGTGTGTAACCAGTAACCTGATTCTTAGGCTGGGAATTTGGGCAAGCAGGGCCCCCATCAGAACTAAAGCCCACATCAAAGCAGAGCTGCAGGGATAACCCCCTCTCTCCTCCTGCTTCAAGAATATCCAGCCCTCCAAGTAGAGTTACAACAGTTTCAAAGAGAAGACTGCCCTTCACATCTTGAGATATTTCAGTTTTGTTTTTTTTCTTTTGGTTCTGGCGATCGAACTCCGGACCTTGCGCTTGCGAGGCAGGTGGCAGCAACGCTGAGCTAAATCCCTGGGATATTTCAGATTTTAATGGGACTTTTAGGATATTTCCTATCAACTTCTCAAAATACAGTATAGATAGTCTCTGTTTCACAAGTGAGTTTTTAAGTCTAGCTGTTTTTCTGTTTTCTTCATTCTGGAGTGGTGGTTTATATACCATTTTGGGGGTGGGTTATAGGCTACTTTGAGTATAAGATTGAAATTCTGAGTCATTTCCTTGAGGAAGTGCATACATATACCCATGTCATAGTTAATTATATATCTCAGTTTGCATACAATTTTTGAAATTCATTGGATTCTATCCATAGATTTCCCCCTTCAAATCCTGATTGAATAGTTTAGAGATGGTATTTTGGAGTAATCCCCCTCAGTTTACTATTATAAATATGTTCAAACATACAGAAGAGTTGAAAGACTATGCCCTCCTTAAATTCACCAACTACCATTCTGCCATATTTGTGCTTGCCTACCCCAGAAAGAATGGCCATCATGAGGAAATCAAATAGCAAATGCTGGAGAGCTATGGAGAGAAAGGAACCCTTCTACACTGTTGGTGTGAATGTAAACTAGTACAACCACTATGGAAATCAATATGGAGATTCCTCAAAACTAAAACTAGAAATTCCATTTGACCCAGCTATTTCCTTTCTAGATGTCTTCCTGAAACAGTTAAAGACATCGTATTATAGAGATACATGCACACCCATGTTTATACCGTACAATTCATAATAGCTAAATCTTGGAAGTGATCCATATGTCCATCAACAGATAAATGCATAAAGAATATGTGGAATTTACATACAATGGGGCTCTACTCTGTCATAAAGAAGGATAAACTTGAGTCATTTTTAAGAAAATGGATGTACCTTGAGACCGTAATGTTAAGTAACATAAATCATTCTTGAGAGCTTAAATATCACATTGTTTCTCTTATATGAGAAATCCAGAGTAAAAATAAAGAACAAAATAAAAGATTAAAATCTTTCCTTCCTGCTTTAACTTATGTTAGGCTTGGTTTATTATTGGCACCAGTCACATGCCATGGGTTCTGCTCCCTTCACTGTGCATCCTAACTTCCATGACAAGGCAGCCCCAGAAGTCCCTTCCTCTCAGCCCTTTTCTGAAGAAGTTTATTAGTAACCACAAGAATAAGTTATTTTCATCATTTTTGAAACATACATATATTTTTAAGAATATGTAGCATTTTAAAATAGGAAAGGATTTGAGAATCCATATATTATAGTTGTGGCTGACAGAGAAGCCTAGCACCCAAAGAGGCAGAATGAACAACATTACTAGGTAGTTTAGGATGAGCCTGCCTGCCATCTGACCCATATTCTGTATCATTTGCACGGGAAACAATGCTTCCCCAACAGGCTCAACTGTCCACACCAAATAGGCTAAGTAGATTCCTGTATCCCTGGGCATCTTTCACTCAAAAGTGCGTGTTCACCCCTGGTGCCTCTCAATAAGTGGCTACCCTGGGCACTTGTGCCTTACTTCAAAGACCTGGTGTAGAGCTGCATCCCAAAAGATCTCTTTCTTCCCCATTCAAAGTATATTTTAATGTATTTTTAATAAGTAGTGCTTCACATGGTATAAAACTATATGTCCCAAAGGTTACATGATGAAAAGGCCCCCTCTACTCTCCCAAGCCAACTAGTCTTCTAGAAATAGTTTAGTTAAATACATTTTTTATTAGTTCTGTTGGTGTCCCATCCCCTCCCCCACAGTCCTCATTTGGGTATGTTTTAGAAGTATATGCATAAATTTAAGAATGAGAGGGCCGGGGATTTACCTCAGTGATTCCGGCACCTGCCTCCCAAGAGCAAGGTCCCGAGTTGGATCCCCAGTACCAAAAGAAAAAGAATGAGAGCCTGAAGATTTGGGAGGAAATATTCTAATAGGCATTTCATGTTAAATTTGAAGCCTGGGGTAGATAGACTATCTCCTCTGAAAATCTTTAAACAGGATAGTCTCTCATCTTCATGGGTTAGTTTACAAGTGGTCCTTTCCACAGTGAAGACATGAGATGACTTCAGAACTGCAGGTTTAGCCCAAGGATACAGATTTAGAAGTGATTGTTACAGTCAGCTGTCAACTG